GTAATAGAAAGATAGAAATTAAAATATTAATTTGCTCATGGCACCAACCTATGCCATGCACCTAACTTTGGAGTAAACTTGGGCCTAAATAAACAGTGTACTGTTAGTCACACATCTGTTTTTGACATAAAGGATGGGTACAGAATATAGTTTTATGCCTCTATGGTTTCAGTCAAAATGTCTTTTTAGGTTTTCTTATGTTTGATTGTGACTTTGAAATTAATATGCCAGTAGTTGTATTGGTGGTGGTGGTGATGAGATGGTGGTACTGTGGAAGAATTGGTAAGATTTTCTCTACAAAGCTTTTGCTTTTTTATTTCTCAAGTAGAAAGTGTTTTCAGCTTAAATAAGCTCAATGGAAAATATTTTTCATGTTTTAAAACTAAATAATGTTTTCCATCTAAATAAGTTTAACCGAAAACGAAATGTTCACATTACGTTGTTCTGTACAGAAAGTTAGTATAATTCTTTCTATTTGTATATTCATTACTCATTTCTTCAATGGCCATTTTCCACATCCACAAAATCTATCTAAACTAGTAGGATATCAAAGACAACATATCCACAAAAATATCAGAATTTTTACAGGAACTTTGATTGTCGGAATCAGAGCTCAGTGAATGCAGTCAAGCCCGACCGCTTATCTAGGAGTAGATCAACACCATTGGCCCCTCCGATCCGGAAGTTCTCGCGAAGAGAATAAGATGCTGCTCCCCCTCCCTCTATCTTTTCCTGCTTTGCTAATCTTCTCCTCTAAGGCGGGCCGGTGGCGGTGGAAGTGAAAGGAGGAAACCAATATTATACTCACTTTTCACTGGGAACTGCCAAGTCCAATCATCTGTTGCATTCATAATTGAGATAGATAAGCTCACAATGATATCAGGTAGTATATTGCACAACATTTTCGTAATTGAGATAGGTATGCCCACAATGATATCAGGTAGTTTATAGCACAACATTGCAAAGTTTGGGTAAAAAGCGTACACAACCTACTCAAGTAACACCTGCCTTGCCAAAGATAAACATTTCTCTGTCTATCCTACATGTCTCTATTTAACCCCATCCGCGACAAATTAAAGAGTTCCATCTTGGACCCACCCATATGCAAAGGCAACCCCAAGTATCTTTGAACATGGCCGACAAACCTTCAATACAAATCAAAAAGAGAAACGGTGAAAACAAATTCCCTTGTCTCAACCCCCTAGATGGAACAATGAACTGATGTTTGTGCCCGTTAATCAGCAATGAATGAAATACAATAGAGACAAATTACATAATCAACTTATCCACAGGGTTGCAAATCCTGACTTGCTCATAATAGCCACCAGATGGCCATTCAACTCTATCATAGGCCCAGCTCATGTCAAGCTTGACAGCCATAGAACAATTTTTACCATACCTCTGACTTTTCAGATAATGCATGATCTCTTGGGATAATAGAACAATTTCAACCATACCTCTCATTTTTCTATTTGTATATCATTACTATTTACTAATCATGATCACAATGATGAAAATTATGTTTTTAAAGGAACCACACTATGCCACATCATTCTCTAGAAAAAATTTCTACAATTTTTCTGTTTGCATATCAATACTCAAACTATTAATGCATGGTGAATAAGCGATGCATCATGTATGCAAAGCACAAAAAAAATGAAGGATATATTGTTAACTCAAATGCCCTGTCCCTCCCAGTTGAAGTGGTTGTCCATACCAAACACCTAAATCTGCTTAAACCATGTAAATTTGGAGTAAAAAACACTACTCCTATTTTATATTTTGACAGTAAACAAGTTACAGAATAATACTCCAACAATTTCCTCACCAATAGAAGTTATATGTTACAGATAAGTACTCACAAACAGTTATATTACATAGAAGCACACTTAACTAACAATTTCTAGTGCAATCAAACACTCAATCTCTAATTGGTATATTTTCTCTGATAGCACCTTTGAAAACACCATTTCTATTTGATTCAGAACAAGGGAGGGAAGCCATAGAAAGACAATCTTCATCTTGAAACATATTATCAAACTAGTTTTACATTTTCAGCCAAAGGTAAACAAGCTACTAGCTTAAATTAATAGCTAATTTTTAAATTTTCATATTTTTGCATTATAAAATTATATTGGGGTTTCTCAACATTCTTTAGCTTTTGTGTAACTCATTACTAATAATTTTAAAAATATATATTATTCACAAGTGTATCATAATCGTACCCGTATTCTATTTTTTTAGGTTTTGTTGTATTGCCGTATCTATATCGTATCATATCCGTATATCATATCCGTCATATCCATGCTTCCTAGTCTGTGAGGAGGGCACCTCTATATAAAAGCAGGCACCCCTATGTGTGAGAGGTTTGTGAATTTATGTGTTAATTTGAGTTAACGTTACTCTGTCGAAAATCTTGAGATATTAGTTTACTGACTTTATCATCGAAGTGTCTGAGCAACCGGGTTAGTTATTCCTAATTGTGCAAACATGGATCTAGGCAGCGTGTTCTACGGCTGTGTTTCTAGAATTCCAGGAGAAATATTAGAATATTGGTTGTGTGATCAAATTTTAGCATACATCCTTAATTTTTTGGGGGAATTACATGCAGATAGGAGAAGAGAATAAAAATTACAAATACATGGAGGGTGCAAGTATGTCTGTGGTGAGGTGGGGTGCAAATGAAAGACTGTGGGGGTGCACGTGACACTTGCACACCCCTCCATGTGTTGGTAATTTCTTTCTCCTTCCCCCACCTACATGTAGTTTCTTCTAATTTTTTTCCATAGTTGACCACATGGATATTGTTATCCAATACTTACATATTACATATACCAAAAATGTTTACAAAAATTAAAAAAATAAAATAAAAATAAAAATGAAAATGAAATATGAAATATGAAAAAACATAAAATGCTATATGCTGTAAGCTTAATTAAATTAAAAAATAAAAAAAAAATGAAAATGAAGTGAAAGAAACTATTTTTATGTAATTGTAAATTAGAAATTTTAGTTGTTATATTGTTCGAGAAAATCTAATATATGTTTATCTTGTGTGATAAATGTAATTTTTATAATTCATTCAATTTTTATTTTATTTTATTTTATGTAAAATTAAAAAATAAAAAAAAATGAAAATGAAGTGAAAGAAACTATTTTTATGTAATTGCAAATTAGAAATTTTAGTTGTTATATTGTTCGAGAAAATCTAATATATGTTTATCTTGTGTGATAAATGTAATTTTTATAATTCATTCAATTTTTATTTTATTTTATTTTATGTAAAATGTTACTAATACACGTAATGACACACATATCTATTAGTTAATACTTACAATAAAATATTAATTATAACACAATTCAAACACGACTTTAGTGCAATTCAAATGAAAACAACTCATTCACATAATTTCAACTACTTTTTTCTTTTAAATTTTAAAACTGTTATTTTAATTTTTAAGAAAAAAACTTACTATTTATTTAAGGCTGTACAGTTTTATGCTAGTTTATATATACACAAGATAGATTTCTTTTATTTGATATAGGATTGAATCCAAAATGAGAAATATGACAGAGAAAAGAAAAGATTAAACATAAATATAAAAAAAGACATACCTTGCAGAAGTTTTATCATTACACTTTGACTCAAAGGGCTCACGGATGTTTTCTAATCAACACTTTCAACCAATTATTTCCAATGCTCTCTTGCTCTTCCTTAATTTTCCTGACAGATTCCTCAACAGAGAAATGACAAAAGTTTACCACAATCAGCTGTAGAGTGAGTATATCCCCCAAACTAGATGGTATTTCCTTGAGATATTGACACCGTTCTTACGATAAGTGTTGAAGGCTTGGAAAGTGACTAGAGCAGGTGATCCATTGCTTAACATTGAGGTTCTTCAGTTTCAAGAATTTGAGTCGAGGAAACCCACCATCAGTTTTTGCCCATTGCCATCCCAAGGCAGCATCATGTTCTAATTTGAGAAGCTCAAGGTTGGGTAACAACATCCCAAGGACTGATATCTCCTCGCACTCTATCCCTGTGCGTTTCAAGGTGAGCCTTTTAACATTTGTAGGAAACTTGACCACTCAAAAATTGGTTGGGTACAATAACTTATTCTGTAGTTTCAAAGTCTCAAGGTGTCTTAAACATTCTAGATTAGGAAACACAAAATTCCGTGAATCTAACAACTGTCCACAAATTCCCAGCTTTGTAAGAAAAGAAGTTCTTGCCAATAAATCCTGAATAGATCCATAAGGGTTTAATTTTGTGATGGTTCGTAGGTTTTCTAAAATCAAGGGATGGTTGCGATCCATTACTGCTTCTTCAGAACATAAACACACATCATATTTTGCTCCTCCTTTAGGACAAAGATGCCTCAATTTTGTAATATTCCAAACATCATGTGGCAGAATAACCTCTCCCCATTGTGTAGAAAAAATAATAAGCGTTTCTAGGTTTGAGAGATTGGATATTAATGGCAGTAATTCATAGATCCATATCCAATTAATTGCCAAATACCTCAAGTTAACAAGTTGTGTTAGTTCTCTTGAAAATAAGGCCATGTTGTACCATATATCCAACACTCTGAGAAGTTTGAAGGTCCAACAAATAAATGAGCACACATCACCAAACGGATTGTCGTCATAACGAATTATCTTCCCTAACTTACTTCTAAAGCACAAGAATGATTGAACAACTGTTGGGGTATAAGACATAGAGGGAACATAATCACATTTTAGAAAGAAGTTAGCACGGATGCACAGACGGCGTTGGTTATTTGTTTCGTAATTACTTGAAGGAGGAGGAGAAGCGTCTTTATAATTATGAATCCACTGTAGGAAATTAATTTCCCTGGCTTTCTTCAAGCATAAGTCACGCAACAAATCATGCATACGACATGCTTTAATTCGACCATCAAACCTCTTTTGAGCAGCAATTACTAGACTTCTCTGAATTAGATCCATTAAGTAATCCTGTGCTACTTCCTCCAAGCTTTTCAGCCCAAGTTTTTGTATAAACCCTCAGCTATCCATAACCAAATTAACTTTTGCACCGGGATTTCTTGGTCTTCTGGAAATGCTCCTAAATAGAGAAAGCATGGTTTCAAGTGACGAGGCAAGTGATTGTAACTCAGTGCTAGTGTGTCCAAGCACTGGTTTGGATCACTAACAATGTATGAGCTCACACTTTGGGCAACTTGTATCCATGACTCTTGTGTCTTGATGTTCTTTGCAGGAAGTCCTGCTATTATAACAATTGCAAGTGGAAGCCCTTCACATTTTTTCATTATATGCTTCCAAATTTTAATCAGTTCTGGTGGACAACTTTCATTTGGAAACACCTTCTGTTGTAATAACACCCAGCTCTCTTCTTCAGTGAAAAAACGCAGACAATGAGGATAGCAATCAGGTGAGGCATACATAGCCAACTCTTTGTGGAGACTAGTGAACATAACTCTACTTCCATTGTTGTCATTGGGGAAATACATTTTAAGATCAACCCAGGCACCAATATCCCAAAAATCATCAATGACAATGAGATATCTCTCGCCTTTTAATGACTTGTACAACTTATCACCAAGGTTCTCATTGGTCATGTTTTTAATTTCATCGGTAAAGACCACATTAACAGAACGTAAAATGTCTAACAACATATCTGTTTGTCTGGATAATTGAGAAGCATAGGTCCATGCACGAATATGAAAATAGTGTGTGATATAAGGATCATTGTAGAGTTTTATGGCTAAAGTTGTCTTACCGAGTCCTGGTATCCCAACAATTGATATCATTTGTAGCTGCTTCTTCCCTCTAACAAGTAGCTTTTTTATAGTCAACGCCTCATCATCAAAGCTCATTGTAATTTCTTCATCTCCCATGGTTCTGTTCTCCATTGACATTGACGATGGGACTCCATCATTGAAATCTTGTAAGAGTTGGATTTGATTTATCTGTTCATAAAACTGTAACACTTTTTCCTCGATCGGCTTAATCTCTTCCATGATATTTATGCCAATTAAAATATAAAAAAAAACTGTCACTATTGTTGTTGTTGTCCCTCTGCCTTGGAACTTCAACATCAAAAGAACGGATAAGTTGTCTTGTCTTGCAGATCACATAATAAATTTGCATTAGTAGGGTTTTAGCTTCATAGTTTAGCTCATGCTGCTTCTGCTGCTTCTCTTCCAAATCATTGAGAATTGGTTGCTAGGAATCTTAGCCAATTGAAAAAGGAGTCCATATGATCTATCTGATCTGCGGTCAAATTGTACGCCTTACTGATCATTAGATGATTTAGTTTCTCCAAGACACGATAATTTTCACCCATCTCCCTCCCGGATCCTTCTCTCTGTTTCCATCTCTCTATCTTTCTTTCTCTTTCTCTTTCTCTTTCTTCTCTCGCATACTTAAACATTTTTTTGATCAGCAAACAGTTAATTGTTTTTTGCTTCCATAGCCCCATTTCGGTGCTCTGCTATCTCTCTCAAGTTTGTGTTCTGAAGATGGAGTTCAATTAGAAAAGACTTTGTAAAATGTTGACTCTGGCTAAAATTTAAAAAAATTACATTTACCTCCTCTAACAATTTGCTTAAATTGCAGCTGGCCTATTAGTTTGACAAAATATAACACCGACGTCCACCGATGTCCTCAAAAGTTAACTCCGTTAACGAGAGTCGTGAAATAACAAAATTACCTTTACTCCAATCACACTTCCACACTTCATCTCCCTATCTTTATGCACCACCACTTTTACAACTATTAGTACTCTTTACCTCATCTCATTTCATCTCACTTCTACTGGTAGCCCTCCTCCTAGTGTCGCCAGAGGTTAAAGTGGAAAAAAACAAACAAAAAAATTTAAAAAAATACCAAGAATTAATAACTTAGTTGTGGTGGTGGAAATTGGTTGCGACAATTCAATAAGGTCCTATTTGATTAGCATAATTAATAGTGAAAAGATTAACAATTCATGTTATTAGTGTAACATTAGTTATTCCGTTAGATTAGTGAGATAAATAATTATCTTTTGTCTATTTTATTTTGCAATAGATATGAAAATATATAATTGTAATTATATAATTGTTTTGTATATTAGTTGTAGGATTAGGGGTGGCCATTGGTTTAATGGTAAAACCTTGGTCTAATAACCATGAGATTATGAGTTCAAGTCACAGAGCAACTACTTTGTGCACTATGCCGAAGGTTAGTTTTGTACCCAATATTTCTCTCTAAACCACATTTATGAAAATCCTAGTCCTAAACATTAGATTTCATCTATTTTTAGCTAGAATCCATCATTGCTCCTTCATCAAAGTTGTTTATCTCACCTAAAGCTACATTTTGAACCAATTGGATCTCCTTATTGTGAAGGTTCATATCTTGGGTTTTTATCTCTCATCTCACAACTCTTGAGGTAGGAATAGTTTTAGCCTTGTATATCTATAATTTGGTTTGAATATGTGTTAATTTCATGGTATAGATATGTGATTGGGAGGGGATGATAATATATATATCCGTGGACATAAATGGTGATGGTGGGTTTAGCCTTAAGATTTATGGAAGAATTGATTAATTCTTAATGAAAACTAGTGAACACATTTTGAATTTAGTCAAATGAAAGATGGAAATGAAAAAGCCTACTTGTCTTGTAAAATCCTAATTAATGTTCATGGGTCTTGATTGGTCATAGAAGGGAAATATCATGGGTAATGTGAAATGTATTGAGATTCTTTGTTTTGGAATAAAATTTGAGTTTTGATGGCTTGTTTATAGTATACTATGGTCTTACTTGCGCGGGAAAAATTGAGGTGCCCACTTGCCCGATCGTGTGAGGATGACAAGTGTGGGGATGGTTGAGGTGTCCACGTGCCCCGATCGTGTAAGGACAATAAGTGTAGAAAGTTGAGGTGCCCAATGGCTATATGTGTGAGGACGGAGAAATGTGGAAGTTAGTTAAATAATGTGTACTGGATAATTAAATGCTTTTGAGTAAAAGGTGTGATAATGCATATTTAAATCAAATGTTTATATATTTGGTTAAATGTATTCTTAACTAGGCAATTGTTCTATAGCGACCCCGGTCTTTTCCCATTTGATTATTGTATCCGGACTTAGGTTCCGTAGACTCTGTCATTGTATAATTGTTGTTGTCGTCCTTTATTTTCTCATTTGGAATTATAGGATGTGTTGGGCAGGTTTGTTTCAGGTTGGTTGGGTTTAGAAATCTAGTGTTGCTGCCCAGTATTTTTACTCTTCACTCGAGCGAGCAGTTCTTCGCACAAGCGATCTCTTTGTTTTGGTCCTTCGCTCGAGCCAGGGTAGCTTCGATCGAGCGAGGATTGCGTTTTATAGTTAGACCTGAAAGCTGAGGTTTTTGGCTCGAGCGAGCTTTTCTTCGCTCGAGCGAGTTAGTTCATTCTTCGCTCGAGCGGTAGTTCCTTAGCTTGAGCATGTGTCTGGTTGCAGACCTGAGGGTTTGAGTTCTTCGCTCGATTGAGTTTTCTTTTGCTCGAGCGAGCTTTTGTGTTGTTGGCTCGAGCAAGGCTCCCTTGGCTCGAGCGTAGCTTCTCTGTGTCTGGTCGCTCGAGCGACTAAGTCTTCACTCGAGCGAGCCTGTCCAGTTTATATACGCAGCAGCGGGTTTTGATCAGTCTTTTTCATTTTCTTTTTGATCCCAAACCCTAGGTTCTCTCTCCCTACTCACCTTCTTTCTTAGATTTGATCCACTTAGGGTGTGTTTCTACCCTAGATCCTTTATTAAAAAGATAGAGTGAGTCGAGGGCTTCCATTTAATCTGAACATTTGGCGATTTGGAACACTTTGGTACTTGGGTATTCATCTCTGTCTTCTCCATTTGGGTTGTTCTCTTCGAGGGAGGGATTTCCTACTCCATTCTATAAGTTTTGTTCTAAGTTTTGGTATTTTGATATGTTGGGGATACTTTGGTAATTTTGGGAAGAAAACCTAGTTGTATTATTAAATTAATTTGTATAATTAATTCATGGAATTGGGAAAAGATGGTTAAATTCATGGAATTGGGGAATTCACTGATTAAATGGCGTAGTTGGATAATTTGAATCATTTGTCTATTGAATTGTTGACATAGTTATTTTCAGTTTAGAAATAACTGTTTTGGGCTATCGGTGGAGGATAGTCGTGATTGTTGTAGATATTGCATGTGGATTAGGAATAACTGAAACTAATCATATGGGTTAAGTCATTAATTTTGACTGTTGCATCGATACAGAAAATACGTGTATTGATTGAGCATTGCATTTGCATACATTGTTTTGTGTGGGAGGAGATAGGGGATGTACTCCACGGTTTAGGGGAAGATAGGCGGTGGACTTCTAAACCGGATTTTGTTTGGGAGGAGATAAGGGATGGACTCCATTAGCATCACTTTTATGTGTGCTTATTTATATAGAAGTGTTTTATTGATACAGCACTAAAATGTGTATCAATCTGGAAGTATGATGTGTTTTGAATTGAGCTTGAGTCTCATTTGTTTGTTGACATTGGGAGAATGTGAATATAATATATATATATAATTCACTATTGTAAGTTTGGCTAGGTTCTGAGCCATATTGATAATGTTGGAAAGTAAAACGAGATTTAGTCATTGGTGTCATGAGATTGTTTGATGATGTAATTGATTATCTTGGTTAACCATCTATTAAATACTGATGCTTTATTCAATGCTTATATTTGGTTTAGTATATTTCTACTGGGCTGTGGCTCACCCTTTATGAGAACATCATTTTCAGGTCCAGGTGATAATCTACCTCCCAGGACTTAGCTTGGAAGGATATGGATTGTGAAGACTATCTTTAATTGTTTGGGTTATTTGATAAATAATCAAGCCAAGGGCTCTATTTGTATTTGAGTTAGAACTCGTATTTTGTGTCCAAGTGTTGGCTTGGAAAGATGTAAGCCCGTAGGGCATTTAATATGATGTTACAAGTAATGTTTTTATTTAGTAATACTCTGATGAATGAATTAATAAAATGTCTTCTTAAAATAATGCATGTCAATGATATATAATAGATTAATTTTGAGGGCGTGACAAGCTTGGTCCTCATAATTTTAATTAGCTTAATTTTGACTATTAATTTTAGAATTTCTGTCCATTTGGTATAATTGATAACATAGATTAGAATTTTAAATAATAATAATAATAATAATTGAGTTGGTTGAGGTTAATTCACAAAATTTAACAAATTTATAATTTTACTAATAAAAGCATAATACATATTGCTTTTGTGCTTATTTTTCATTAAAAAAATACTCACAATTATAATCAATTAAACCAAATTCAGACGAAATCTTAAATTTAACATCAAAATTAAGCCAATTAAAATTATAGAAACTAAAATAACACAAAAATCAAAATAAAAAATAATTAGTGTAATTTATTATTTACCCTTCTTTTTTCTACTTTTTTTTTTTTTAATCTCTCTAACTGTTAATTTATTATTTACCATTACCCTTCTCATGTTGATCTCTTCTCTCTATTTCTCTCTCTTAAATGTTATTCTATAACTTTATTACTTTGTGCACAGTATATATATACATACATACATACATATCACAGACATCCAAGCATAAGATTCAAAGCTGTATATGAAATATGATCAAATGGCTTTTTTTGAAACTGATCAAATGGTTCAACATGGAGAATTCTCGCCCCAATATTTCATGAGTGGGCAAAAGAAAACGGAAAAATGCTAAAGAACGTTATAAAGGAAAATTTTCCAAAGTATTAAAAAAAGAAATATTAATTTATTGCGTACCGCCATATCTTTCTAATGAAAGTTTTATGTACGTATGCATTATATTTGTGTAATAAATGGGATCAACTACCATTCTAGTCCAATTTTGGAGAAATTATTGGATGATTTTGGAGTATTATTTTACGCCATTCATTGAAGAATAAATATTCAATTGTTTTCTAAAAATACACAAAAAGATGGTAGGTCTCACTGTTTAAAAAATAAAAACA